TAATCAATCTCTTTGTGCCCCTTGCCTGTATGCTGATCTTCGTTTTTTTTTCCTATATGTAAGGAGCTTGCACCCCATGCTGAGGTGTGCAGCTTCCCCGATATTGCTGATACCCAAATGCGCATTCATTCAATAAACCCTCTTGCTTTTGCAGCTCTTGGTCTTGTTTCTGAGTCTCGGGGGCTCCTCGGGCACAGTAGGGCTTGCTGCCATTCCAGAGAAACTGAGTTTGGTTCTCAGAATATATGGTGAGCAGTTTACAAATGCCTGTACCACTGACTCCAAGGTATACAACACCCTCTTCTGGCCTCTTGTGGGATCTGCTCTGCATACATATGGCACTCACACAAAAGCAAAAAAAAAAAAAAAAATCTTTAAAAAAGTAAATAAAATAATACGTAAGGGGGCTGGACAGATGGCTCAGCGGTTCACTGACTTCTCTTATAGAGGACCTGAGTTCAAATCCCAACACCCACATGGCAGTTTAAAAGTGTCTCTAACTCTGGTTTTGGAGGATCTGACACATTCATACCAAAGCAATAAGATAAAATTAAATAAAAAAAAATTGTTTTAAGTAATACATAAGCCAGGCACTGGTGGCCCACAGCTTTAATCCCAGTACTTGGGATGCAAAGGCAGGGAGATCTCTGAGCTCAAGGCCAGCCTGGTCTACAAAGTGAGTTCCAGGACAGCCAGAGCTGTTACACAGAGAAACCCTGTTTTGAGGAGGGGAAAAAAAGTAATACATTGGTGGCGCACGCCTTTAGTCCCAGCACTGGGGAGGCAGAGACAGGTGGATCTCTGTGAGTTTGAGACCAGCATGGTCTACAAGACCTAGTTCCAGGACAGTCTGTAAAAGCCACGGAGAAACCCTGTCTCGAAAAACCAAAAAAAAAAAAAAAAAAAAAAAAAAAAAAAAGTGGAAAAAGTGGGCTGGAGAGAAGGCTCAGCAGTTAAGAGCACGGGCTGCTCTTCCAGAGGACCCAGATTCAATTCCCAGCACCCACATGGCAGCTCACAACTGTCTGTAGCTCCTGTTCCAGGAGATCCAATACCCTCACACAGACTCATTTGGGCAAAACACCAATGTATATAAAATACAAATAAATAAATTATTTTTAAAAAAAAGTAATACATAGCCACGAATAGAGGCAAACACCTTTAATCCCAGCACTAAGAAGACAGAGACAGGCAGATCTCTGTGACATTCAGGTGAACCTGGTCTATATAGTGAATTCTAGGCCAGCCAGGAACCCCATCTCAAAAAAAAGAATCTAAACAAACAAAAAAGCAAATACAAATGGGAAAAGCAACAAAGTCTAGATATACAGCGAGAGGAGAGTGAGGGCACATACTTACTACATTTAAAAGTCTAGATATATAGCGAGAGAAGAGTGAGGGTACATACTACATTTAAAAGTAGCAACAGCTGTTTAAACTAGTTGACCTCCTAAGGGGCAGGAATTTGGGTTCAAATTTGCCAGAACTCTGGAATTTTCAAGAGAAAGTGCATACTCTAATTTTTTGTATTGTGTTTTTGTTTGTTGTGTTAAAGGCACAATCTTGCTATGTATGTAGCTCAGGTTGGCCCAGTTCTCACTATATAACCCAAACTGGCCTTGAACTCAAAGCAGTCCTCCTGCCTCAGCCTCCCAAATGCTGAGATTACAGGAATGCTATCACACCAGTCTAAATTCTAATTTTTCAAATGCTGACAACTGATTCAAATTATTTAAAACACTGTGAATGAGGAGGAGGATAGAAAGAGGACTATAGTAGTGCATATGATTCAAGTGCATTACATATATGTATGAAAACATCATAATGAAACTCATTATTTTGTACCAACATACACTTTACATACTTTAAAAAATGGGGAAAGGGCAGGAGGGAGAAGGGAACTGGGATTGTCATGTAAAACAATCGTGTTTCTAATTCAAATAAAAACAATTATTAAAAAAAAATGGAGATGGGCTGGAGAGATGGCTCAGAAGTTAAGAACACCCACTGCACTTAACATGCGCCACCAACGCCCGGCCATGGTAGAACTTTCTATGTCTTTTAATTCCCAAATGTCATTCTCCAACCTATCTAAAGCCTCATGCAGGATCCAGGGCAGATCTTTCATTTTTTATAACATATGTACGTCACCTGAGATCACGTCACTCTCAGTGTCATTCCAAACAGTCCCCCTTCTACCACCTTCAAGCTCTATTTAAAGTCTGAGTCTATGACCTAAGTTCAAAGAAAGGAAATATGGTGAATCCCAAAGCCTCATTGATTAGAATGCAACATGGTTTTATGACTTGGCCTTATTTCTAACAAATTCCTGCCCTCAGATCTGAATTCTGGAAATGCCTGAGTTTCTGGGAAAGGGGACTCATAATACTAGTCCTAAGAAATATGGGAAAAAATACACTGTGAGTGAAAAAGGACCACAAACCCCATGGTCTGTCTATATTTCAAAGAGATGATACCACTCCTACAATCAAAAGATAAATTCTTGGTATGGGGATGGGCTTTCTAAGCCAAAGAAAACATGGGAACAATCCTAACAAGAGGTGGGAGGCTAGGAAATAAAATAATCTATGTATCAAAAATTATAGGGACTGAAAAAATGGCTCAGCTTTTAGGAGTTCCTTTTGTTCCTTTTGCAGTAGTCAGGTTTGGTTCCCAGCACAAACATGATGGCTTACAACCATGGGTAAGTACAGTTCTGGGAGAGCCTGCCTTCAATTGTGGCCTCTGAAGGTAACAGGCACACATGCACGCTGCGTGGTGTACAGACACATATTCTGACAAAACACTCATATACTTAAGATAAAAATAAATAAATCTTAAAAAACAAAAACATGGAGCTTGAGAGATGGTTCAGCAGTTAAGAGTAGTGGCTGCTCTTCCAGAGGACCCAGTTTCAATTCCCAGGACCCACATGGTGCTCACAACCATCAGTAGCTGCAGTTCCAGGGGATCCAACATTTTTTTCTGGTCTCCAAGGGCATCACACATGTGGCACATATATATACATGCAGGCAAAATACAAGGGCACCATATATATCATCCACACACATAAAAAATTAAAAAAAGAACAAATCCACATCATATATACCAGTCCCTTTAGATTTGACTGTTCTCTGAATTCATACTAAGGCTGTAAAACCAATGCACAGGCACTATCAGATGCTCAGATAGGAGCACAAATGCAAAAAGCCTTCTAAAAAGCAACTGTATAGCACATGAACAATTCTACAGCTGGTCATTCCCTTACAAGAACACAATGCCAAGAAATACACAGGTGCTCTAAAATGACCTTTACATTTTATTATGTGTTTGTTTGTGTGTGTGTAAGTGTTCTCACTTGTGGGGGTCAAACACAGCTGTGGATCCCACGGATAGAATTCAGGTTGTCGGCCTTGGCAGTTAAGTGCCTTTATCTGTGAGATATCTCACCAGTCCTGATTATTGTTATTTGCTTGTTTGAGACAGTGTTTCACTAGGTAACCCTGGCTGGTCTGGTACTTTATATGTAACCCAAGTTGGCCTTGGTAAATCCTTTTGCCTCTACTTCCCAAGTAAGGGGATTATAAGTATGAGCCACCAAGCTTGGTTCATAAAATTACTGTCTGGTTTTTTGTTTTGTTTTTCTCATTGCTTTGAGACAGGGTCTCACTATGATGCCCTGACTGGCCTGGAACTCACTATGTAGACCAGGTTAACCTCAACTCACAGAAATATAACTGTCTTTGCCTTCAAAGTACTAGATATTAAAGGTGTGTACCACTACACCTGCCTAAAACTTTGGTCTTTAAAGATCTCAGCAAATCCAGAAACTGTGGTGAAAGCCCATAAGATAGAAAGCTGAAAAAAAAAAAAAGACATATAACTGAATCCCACCTTTGTCCCTCCTTCCAGGAGTATCCATTTCCCGTTTCAATGAATACAGAGAAATTACCTTTATTATTTGCCCTGAACAAAGCCCTTAAAGTCAGGAGGCACAGCACACTTTTTTTTTTTTTTTTGCTAACTCCAAGGTATTATTATCTATTTTTAAAATTGTCAATAAGTTATATATACAGCCAAAATTTTTGCAAGCAGAGATAAAGAACAGAATATGATTAAGTATTTCTGGCCACACAGTGCTAAGAAATGCAAAATTCTGTGCTAGCCGAAACCCTAGCTCTAGCAAGCCTGAGTAAGTTCATAGCAATCTTCTCTCATTTCCATGATTTCACACTGAATATTCTTTACTCCACCCCTAAAAGAAAACAAACAGGGATCTCCTGGAATCTCTCACCTAAATGAGAGGTTGTTGTCTAAACCTAAAGGCAGGATGGAAGCTATCTTCCTCTCAGCAGAAGCAGGCAGAGCTTGTTTATAAAGTCAGTGTAAAGAAATCTGAAACACCAATGGAAAAAGGCCATTTGGTATGGTGCCTGTTGCTTAGAACAGGCCACAAAGAGCAGCAGTGACAGGAAAGAGAGTGTCCTGTGGGACCTGGAGAGTGTCCTGTGGGGCCCCATCATCTAGAGAAGCCTATTTCCTCATTGATGTCTTTAAACTAGTCTCTGTAACAAAAAGCTACAAGGCCTTAGCTCTGACTTGTTCCCTGAGATGTTATAAATAGTGATGTTGACATCATTCAAAACACTTGACCCTCCAAAAATAAAAAGAGGAAAAAAAGAGAAAAAAAATTAGTTGGTAAGACAAATACTAGACATGTATCAACCTGTCACATAGAGCAAGGAACAGAAATAAGGGACAGCTAAGAATAAGGGGAACCCACAGCTCCAAACACCATGAACAAATTCAAACTTCTCCCATCCCCATCCTTTATGTTTACTTATCTCTCAGAACCAAATAAGTGATGAAATTATTTTTTCAAAAGGTCACACCTTCCCTCCTTCTCAAAGAGAAAAATATAACATTTAGATATCAGTAACCATGAGTGGTATAGCACCCACCCCTCCACATATGCCCCCTGCCCTGCCCCCAATACTTACATATGCAGGCAGCAGCAAGGAGACGGCAGGCCACATATGGAGGATCACAAGTGGGGAAGGAGGGCTTGATGATGTAGTTGGCGAAAGTGATGGCGATGATGGCCTGACTGGTGGGCTCAACGATTAGAAGTGAGACCCACAGACGGATAAAGGCAATGAAGCCCCCAAAGGCCTCTAAAATGTAAGCGTAGCTGGCCCCTGACTTGGTGATGGTGGTTCCCAGTTCTGCATAACAAAGGGCACCCACAACAGAGAAGAGTCCGCCAGTGGCCCAAACAATCAGTGACAACCCATAGGAGGCAGTGTATCTCAGCACACCCTTGGGTGAGACGAAGATCCCTGAGCCAATCATGTTCCCCACCACCAGGCTGACCCCATTCAGCAAGGAGATCTCCTTCTTCAGCTGCACAGTCTCTGCAGGCCCTGGAGATGGTGAGCTAACATCTTCTTTTACAGCATGCTGCTTGGCCTTGGGGAGAAGATGGTAGGTGGGTGTGGGACTCCCAAGTTCCCTGGCTTCCATGGTAAGTGATTCCTGTGGTTCCTGTACACCTGTATTTACTGTGGCCTGGCAAAGAAAAGAAGTGTGTCAAGTCCAGGGCAGAAGCTAGTGTGACTCTGGTTAATTAACATCTGCCAGTCAGACAGACTTCCCTGCCCACCACTTGCTTAGGTAGAATATGCAACATACACAACAGGCCTGTCTCGGTCTCAATCTAAGACAGGCAACTGGAGGTGGGCAGTATCCAATGATCCTGAGAAAGACATGAGCACTCAGTCCCAACCTACGGACAACCTCCAACAAGAGATCTGTCTTACTGAGCAAAGAGGCCAGCAAAACTGTATTTATCCACAGTAGATTGACCCTAGTTTTGCTAAATTCTATTTGTTTGTTTGAGACAAGGTCTGCCTATATAGACCTGGTTGTCCTGAAACTCACTATGTAGATCATCAAGCTGACCTCGAACTTAAGTGCTAGAATGAAGGCATGTGCTACCACACCCAGTTTCTTACTCCATTCATCAGCTTAAAACTCACAAACCTGTCACTCAGAAAAAGAGTCCCTACACTAGCCTGAAAGATTTGTGAGACCATGGTGGAAGACTAGAAAGACCATCCCAGGCAATCCTATCACTTAGCTCTAAAATAGGGATTTCTTCTTTCTCTTCTAACATACACTGAGGTTTTGCCTGTGTATGTCTGTGTAAGGATGCTAGATCAGATCCCCTGGAACAGACAATTGTGAGCTGCCATGTGGGTGATACAAACTGAACCAGGGTCCTTTGGAAGAGCAGACAGTGCTCTTAATCACTGAGCCATCTCTCCAGCCCTGTAAATAGGGATTTCTACGGGCATTCAACCACATGTGAAGATCTGCAGTTACATACATGGAAGGAGGGGTTAAGGAGATGCTAAGGAAGAGTGTATTATCTCTAATACAGCTTTGTGTGGTGGCATACAAACGTAATCCCAGCATTCAGAAGATTGAGGCAGTAAGCTCCTGAGTTCCACTTGGTGACGCACACCTTTAATCCCAGCACCAGGGTGGCAGCGGCAAACAGATCTCTGAGTTTGAGGTCAGCCTGGTCTACAAAATAAGTTCCAGGACAGCAGGACTACACAGAGAAACCCTGTCTCCAAAAAAAGTGTAACATCATAGCAGAGACCTTTATGACAACACATGTCTAAGTATCATGCATGTGTAAGGAGGAAGGCCACAAAAATCAACTAAGCAGGGCTCACAGGGGGGTCATAGAAGCTGAAGTGACAAGCACGGACCCCCTATGGTCTGAGCTAGGTCCCCTGCATGTTATGGTGTGTAGCTTGGTGTTCTTGTGGGACTCCCAACAATCGAGTAGGGGTTATCTCTGACTCTTTTGCCTGCTCTTGGGATCGTGTTAATCCTACTGGGTTATCATGTTTAGCTGTGATACAAGGGTTTGTGCCCAGTCTTACTGTATCTTGTTAAGCCTTGTTCAGTGGATATTCCCGGGAGGCCTGCCTGCCACCGACCCTTTTTTTATTTTTTGAGACAGGATTTCTCTGTGTAGCTTTGGAGCCTATCCCAGCACTCGCTCTGTAGATCAGGCTGGCCAAACTCACAGAGATCCATCTGCCTCTGCCTCCCAAGTACTGGGATTAAAGGTGTGCACCACCAACGCCCAGCCGCCCCCCACCCTTTTTAAAGGTTCAAAGTCAGCATTAACGACATAGTGAGACTCTGCCCCCCCCCAAAAAAAGTGTGGGGCTGACGAACAAAAATAAAACAAAATGTCTATACTAGAGCCTGGCTTCATAGGGCTAAAGCAAAGTAACCCAAGGTCATTTGGGTATACAAACTTCTCAAGGAAACAGGGAAAACTCATACCTCCACAGACCTCACCCAAAATGCTTGTTTTACTTGTCCCAATCCACTCCAAGAACCTGAACCTAGGTCCAAGTTAAAAAGCTTGTCCAGGGCATGAGAAGAGTAGAGCTAGCCTACCTCTACCTTAATAAGATTAGACTTTCAGAACACTTTTCATTCTTGGCATTAAGCTCTATGCAGGTTTCCCTATGCAAGCATGTGGAAGCATATTTGCTTCACATGTCTGTCAACTGAGTCCAGGTTTCCATGGGAACAAATCCAGTAAACAGCTAGGAGCCCATACTCATGTATGGATGAGGCACAAAAAGACCTTCAGGGTTTAGAAACTCAACATACAGATAGGCAGAAAAGCCTGGCCCTAAAGGCTACTCCAGCCTCCTCTATTCCATCAGAACTTAGGCGAGAGTGAGAGTTACCAGGTATCCCTTTTTGTACTTATAAAACTTGGCACAAGTGTGTCAGGTGTGGCTTTATTCAATGAGTTTGATACACTGGACAACTCCCCAGTGGCTTATTCTGGACAAACCCAGAACACCTCTTGCCTAAAAATCACTATCCCAACACCTGAATTAGGGACAAGCAGTTTAGGGAGTGTTCCTCCCTTTAGCTAAGAACCTCTTTTTCACTATGAGCCTGTTCTTAGCTAAGGTAATTAAAACCCCCATCTTTTTTTAACCCAAGAGCAAAATTGTGAAATAACTACAGCAAATTCCCTGAGGACAGACAGCTAAATTCCTGGCTTGCTTGACACAAAACCCCAAGGCCATTCCTTACTTTTCCTCTAAATCTTTTTTTTTTTTTTTTTTTTCCCCTGGTTTTTTGAGACAGGGTTTCTCTGTGTAGCTTTGGAGCCTATCCTGGCACTCACTCTGCTCTGTAGACCAGGCTGGCCTCGAACTCACAGGGATCCACCTGCCTCTGCCTCTGCCTCCAGAGTGTTGGGATTAAAGGCGTGTGCCACCAAACGCCTGACTTTTTCCTCTAAATCTTAACTCACACTTTACATTCCTCTAGATACCTGACAAGCACCTCAACCGATAGGATTTTATGTAAAGACACAGCAATGAACAAAATCAATAAAGGCATGGATCATGTCCTCAAATTAAAGTGTTGATATGGCAAGAATTGAAATCAGAAATCCCATAGTCAGAGACCAGAATTCACCAGCTAGCTGTATCTCAACATTCTCTGACCTTCAGCTGTTCTTTCCAAAATCCTCACTGACCTTCTGTGAGTATTACACTAAACAATATAAAACTCTTCAATAAAATGTAAAGGCTTGGGCCAGAGAGATGGCTCAGTGGTTAAAGATACTTTCACCAAGCCTGATGACCTGATTTTGTGCCCCACAACCCTACATGGTAGAGAAAACCACCTACCACAAGTTGTCTCTGACCTTTACACATATGCATTCATGCACACACATACAAAAATATACAAATGTAATAAATTGTTTAAATTAAAGATTTATTTATTATGAATACAGTGTTCTGCCTGCATGCAGGCCAGAAGAGGGCACTAGATCGCATTGCAGATGCGAGCACCATGAGCCACCATGTAGTTGAGGGGAATTGAACTCAGGACCTCTAGAAGAGCAGCCAGTGCTCTTAACCTGTGAGCCATCTCTCCAGTCCAATAAAAATTTTTCAAGATGAGCCAGGAAGTGGTGGCTCACATCTTTAATCCCAGAACGCAGGAGGCAGGGGCAGGAAGATCTCTGAGAGTTCCAGGCCAACCTGATCTACAGAGCTAGTTCCAAGACAGCCAGAGCTGTTACACAGAAAAACCCTGTCTGGGAAAACCAAAAAAAGAAAAAAATTTTGAAGATGAAGAGAAGATGATGATAAAGTTGGGCCAGATTTCTGAGAAAGATTGGGAGACAATTTGTACAGTCTCAAAAAAAAAAGAAAAACAAAAAACCTTTGTGTCTGAGAAAGGGACAGGAAATTCTGGTTAAAACCACTAAGAAGTATAACCTCTGTGCCAGGAAAAATAACCCAGAAAGATCAATCCTGCCCAGACGCAAGGAAACTGAGGCTGGGCCAGAACAAAAAGAGAACCTCCCTGTTCCCCACTAGGAGTTTGCACCAGAAAAAAGACAGAGCAGTACGACACCTAGAGTATAGTAAACTGTACATGGAGAAGGGCCAAAGCTGAGAGTAGAGCATACACTTTGAGAATAAATGTCTTCCCTATAGGAAATCAAACCAACCCCAAGCACAAAGAAACACCAGAGGAATGTGAAGGTAAGATTACCTAAAGCACCATAGTAACAACAAAACTTCAGTGTAACCCTTCTATTTAATTGGTTCAAACTCTTCTACCAAGAACCCTGCAAAAATGTCATACCTATTTTTCAGAATAAAAATTATATACCTCTCTGGGCAGTGCTACCACACATCTTTAATCCCAGCACTTAGGAGGCAGAGGCAGGGGAATCTATGTGAGTTGGTGGCCAGCCTGGTCTACAGAGTGAGTGCTAAGACAGCCTCCAAAGCTACACAGAGAACCCTGTTATCAAAAAAACAAACAAACAAACAAAAAAAAAACAACAAAATTTATATAGCTCAAATTTCTCATATTCTACAAACTATGGCTATCACTAGCAAATTATAAGCAAGGAAAGAAAAAAAGAAAGAAAACAACCCACTATCAAGAGACTAGTTAATCAACATGACCAGGTTTGGAGAGATATCAGAAACATCAAATAGACTGTTTAAAATACTATGGTGGGAGATGGGCAGATGCAATCAGTTGCTGTGGTCCTGGCTACTTACAGGCCTGAGACAGGAGGATCACTTAAGCCCAGAAGTCCAAGACCTGCCTGTGTAATGCAGCAATACCTCATCTCAAAAAAAGAACAAAAAATAAAGGGATGGTGGGGACTGAGGAGACAGCTCATTGCTTCCTGTATAATCATGAGAGACACTTCGTCAAAAAATACAAGGTGGTCAGGCATAGTGGATAGTAGCACATGCCTTTAATCCAGGCACTCAGGAGGCAGAAGCATCTCTGTTAGTACCATGCCAGCCAGTACTTACAGACTTTTTCTCAAAAAAAAAAAAAAAAACCTACAAGGTGACCACTGACTTCCATTCAAATACATATAAGTATACACACAAAAAGCAAAACATATAATAACTACAATGTGTCTGGGCACATAGCTCAGTGGTTGGGTGCTTGCAGAGCATGAGACCCTGGGTTCAATCATAGACCTTTATTGTATTAACTGTGGTTAATATATTGAAGGTTTCTAATGAAAATGCTCAACACTAAGAGGAACAAATGTAGAAAACTATGATTCAGAACAGAAAAAAATATATAAAAGCTGTAGGACAATCAGTATCAAATGATCTGCAGTAAGTAGGGGGAGCGAGACTATTTTACATTTATTTAGACTATAAATGAAGCCTGAAGCAAAAACTGCAGAAATGTAGTGTAGGTTTATAGCACAAAGGAAAAAAAAAAAAAAAAAAAAAAAAAAAAACCTGACAATACTATCATGAATAGGAGGCAAAGATACGGACAATACTGTATAAAGTTCTTACCTTATAGTGAAGGAATCTATTATTTAAGGGTAGACTGTAATTAAAGACTCATGAGGCTAAAGTATAGCTCAATGGTAGAGAGTTTGCCAGACATATAATTATGGCCCTATCCCCTAGAGGCCATTAAAAGATTTACACTGGAAAATTAGGGCAACAATTAAAAAAATATTAAAGAGGTATAAGTAATATGCCACCAGTAGAGAGCTGGGGGTGATGACATATGTCTCTACACCAAGCTGGCCTCAAAATTGCAGCAATCTTCCTGCCTCTGCAGGAGTCCTGAGTACTGGGACTATAGGTATGCATCAAGTCTATCTAAATAAGCAGGTTTTAATCAAGTTATATAACTACACTTAATATAAATGATATAAACACACCAAGTAAAAGATACTGTTAGACTGAATACAAAGCAAATCCCAATATGTAAACTATAGGAAATCACTTTAACTATAAAGACATAAATGGCTGGGCAGGGGCTGGAGAGATGGCTCAGTGGTTAAGAGCACTGACTGTTCTAGAGATCCTGAGTTCAATTCCCAGCAACCACATGGTGGCTCACAACCATCTTAAATGAGATCTGGTGCCCTCTGCTGGCAGGCAGAAGACTATACATAATAAATAAATATAAATAAATAGCCGGGTGGTGGTGGGGCATGCCTTTAATGCCAATGCTCAGGAGGCAGAAGCAGGAGGATCTCTGTGAGTTTGAGACCATCCTGGTCTACAAGAGCTAGTTCCAGGACAGCCTCCAAAGCCACAGAGAAACCCTGTCTCAAAAAAACAAACAAACAAAAAACAGACATAAATAAGTTACTGAGAAAAGGAACAAAAGAACCCAAACAAAGTATTTGTCTGGTAGGCATGAAGTCCTGGGTTTGCTCTCCAGTATAGTATAAACCCAGTACAGAAGCCCATGCCTATATGTCATTGCTCAAAAAGTGAAGGCAAAAGGATCAAAATAGTTATTTTCCACTATATATATCAGAGTTCAAAGCCAGCCTAGGCTATATAAGAATCTGTTTCAAAAAAGAAAGAAAAAAGGAGCTGGAGAGATGGCTCCGGTTAAGAGCACTGGCTGCTCTTCCAGAGGACCTGGTTTCAACTCGCAGCACCCACACAATGGCTCACAACTGTCTGTAACTCCAGTTCCAGGAGAACTACCACCTTTTCACCAATGTACACAAAATGGTGTTAAATAAATTACATTTAAAAAAGAAAGAATAAGCCGGCGTTGGTGGCGCACGCCTTTAATCCCAGCACTTGGGAGGCAGAGGCAGGCGGATCTCTGTGAGTTCGAGACCAGCCTGGTCTACAAGAGCTAGTTCCAGGACAGCCTCCAAAGCCACAGAGAAACCCTGTCTTGAAAA